CGCCGGAGACCGCTGCGCCCTGGAACACCGGCAGGGTTGGCAGACTGATCTCCTGAGGGCACTGAGGAGAGACGGGCACCGTGTAATGCGTTGTACACCGCTCTTCCACATAGGGAGCTAGCCATCAAAAAGTCCTAGGCCTTAGGCATCAGGACGTTCAAGACGAAGACTATCCAGCGAGAATGACGGTCCGCAGAACCTCCTTCTGCTAGAAGCCTTCGGCCTGGGAGCGCCACTCTGACTCTAGACTCTGCAGAGTACGAGAAGTGACACCCCCCAGAATGAGGGGCTGGAACACGGTAGGTTGGGACTGCTCCCGCCCAGCAGCCCCTGCTGACCGCCTCAACCTCCTCAGAGGAAGAGAGGTAAACGCTTTTATCCCAAGAGCCCCTGTATATCTAACTTCTCATAGTCAGATAAATACTTCATTTTATTCCTCAGAATTAAATGCAGTCAAACATGGGCGAGACGTCACGGGTGGGGTGACGTAGCAACCAGGAAGCATAAAAGAATTTGCGATGAAACCGGTGTCAGCTTCTAGGAGTGAAACAAGCGCTGGCAGGGATGCCGAAAGTATGGCCCTGACACGCAGCGTCTCGTTCCCTTTGGGGAACCATGGTTACATGCGTAACCTGGAGACATTCCCTCTCATAGTCAGATAAATACTTCATTTTATTCCTCAGAATTAAATGCAGTCAAACAACCAGACGAAATGATGTAATATACGCGTTGCCTCGGCAGCGCGCGAGCCGCTCAGTCACACAAATAATATCAATCTCCTCAGAGAAAGATGGCTGCAGCAGCGAGCTCTCACGGAGGTGGAAGAAACTGCAGCGCGGGCTTCCAAGCCTCGAGAACGAGCTCTAGATATAGGGAACACGGGTCAAGATAGGAAGAGCCGTCTCCAACCCGTCCGCCTGATCATGCGCGATCCCTGCGATCTCAGTCGCCGCCGTGCCTCAGCATCTGCAGGACCACAATCGCAAGATCACAGGCACGGACACACTCCTCGGAGCGTGCCCGGCGAGAGCGGAGACGAGAATGCCCACGCCGCCAGACTTGCAAATCCCTGCCTAGTGTGGAAGAGCACAACTAAGGCAAGAGAAAAGGAAGCCAGGAGTGGCTAAAGTAGGCGGGGCCGTCCCGAAGGCCAACTTCTGGAGGAGTGAGCCTTGACCCCCAAAGGAGAAGGGAGATCAGAGGACTCAAGGCTATGGAATAGCATCCTGATCCACCACTTAGCATAAGCTTCTCTGGCCGGAGGCCTCGGTCTCAGCGCACCGCAGAGGAAACATGTAAGAAGAGGGTGTCTTCCCACTGAATGGCCACCAAGAGGGGCGTGGTAGGCCGCAATGGCCGCCACGAAGACCTCTAGGGTGGAGTGGGTCAACCCTGCGGATAAACAGGCCTGCAGGAACTTCAAAACTGTACCAAACGGGCAGCTAGCTGGGTCAACCTGGCGGTCTCCGGACCAAGAAGTACAGTTTCCTCATAGAGGGAGCTCTGGATGGAGGATAATTAAATGCAGTCAAACAACCAGAGGAGTAAATACGGTCTGGTGAGTAAGATTCACATCAAAAACCGAATGATGTAATATAAGTGTTGCCTCGGCAGCGCGCAAGCCGCTCAGTCACACAAACAAAATCAATCTCCTCAGAGAAAGATGGCTGCAGCAGCGAGCTCTCACGGAGGTGGAAGAAACTGCAGCGCGGGCTTCCAAGCCTCGAGAACGAGCTCTAGATATAGGGAACACGGGTCAAGATAGGAAGAGCCGTCTCCAACCCGTCCGCCTGATCATGCGCGATCCCTGCGATCTCAGTCGCCGCCGTGCCTCAGCAGCAGCGGGACCGCAATCGCAAGATCACAGGCACGGACACACTCCTCGGAGCGTGCCCGGCGAGAGCGGAGCGCTTAACAGCGAGAAAAGCACAATCAGCCCCCCGAGAGCTGACTCTGCTCCCCATTAATGCTGCTCATTATAATATTAGGCATAATATGCTTGTGTAACTGATGCTTGTGCAACTGGCGAGCTCTTCGACGCCCTCCGTATCAATCTCGAAAGCGGGGCTGGCACCGTGAGAAACGCTAGTGAAGGCTCCCTCCTCAAAGAGAGCCCTCTGAGAGCGAAGCAAGGCAGTAACAAACGCTTGCAATGCGGGCAGTCAGCTCCCTCGAGAGCTGACTCTGCGTGCTTCGCTCCCAAGCAGACAACAAACAAACTGTGTGTATCCCCACCCGTAATGTAACGCGAGCAGGGAGGAACACACAGCCTGAAACGCTGCCTGCCCTCACCCTTGAGGTGTTTGGTTTTGTCTTGTGCTCTGACATGATTTCGCTTGACAAACAACACTAAATAAGACTCACAAACAGATATCAGACTGACACACACACAGAGTTAAATACAAAAAGAAATAAATCTTTTGTGCAGTAGTGTGGTATCACTATGAATGATGTTTTTTGCATTATAGTAACTGAGGGATGGTAGGCTTAATTTTTCTAAACATTTAGTAAAAATATGACCTGGATCCAGGATATGATCTCTCTCTCTCTCTCTCTCTGTTTCAGGTGGTAACAAACAGAGACACACAGGAGACCCTGCTGTGGAATCACTGTGCACTGTGTGTGTGTTTTTAAATAAATTATGAATACATTTATTGTAATGTTTTATTTTAGGTCAGCCTAGGTAATGATAGTTTGACAGAGATTACCATGGTGTACACTACCATTTAAGAGTTTGGCGTCTGTAGGTTTTTTCTTCTTTTTTTTACAGTTAAGTACAGTAATACTGTGAAATTTAATATTACTGTATAAATTAATTATATATTATAATATATATATATATATAGCTGTGCATGGCCTGTGTGTTCGAAGTGTCAAACAGCGAGCACGGTGCCCAGCATCACATCTACAGACTAGTGAAGGAATGAAGCAGCTCTTTCACAAAGACTCTGGACCTCAGTACAGTGGCAGTGCCTCTAGCTCAACACTCACTCAAGATGATTTTCTGTCACATTTGGGTGATGCTTATAATTATATATATATATATATGTTTTTTTTTTTTTTTTTTTTCCTTTATTAATATGTGTTTGACGTTTAACTGCAGCTGTAAATCGCGGTACAGTTGTATTATGTTTTAATACGGGAAAGAATGTCAAAGAATGCCGAATCAACATTCATTCATAGACTATACATATAAAGTGACAGTATCATTCAACTTAAAGGTTAGGTTGAGTTAGAATGAATCTGAAAACGACCTCATTTTGATTTTTTAATCTCGAAAGCATACACATCTGAAAGCGTATGGGTGCAGCCATAAATGTGACCCTGGAGCACAAAACCAGTCATAAGTAGCACAGGTATATTTGTAGCAATAGCCAACAATACATTGTATGGGTCAAAATGATAGATTTTTCTTTTATGCCAAAAATCATTAGGATATTAAGTAAAGATTATGTTCCATGAAGATATTTTGTAAATGTACTACTGTAAATATATCAAAACTTAATTTTTGATTAGTAATATGCAATGCTACGAACTTCATTTGGACAACTTTAAAGGTGATTTTCTCAATATTTTGATTTTTTTTGCACCCTCAGATTCCAGATTTTCAAATAGCTATATCTCCTGTCCTATCCTAACAAACCATACATCAATGGAAAGCTTATTTATTCAGCTTTCAGATGATGTATAAATCTCAATTTCAAAAAATTGACCCTTATGACTGGTTTTGTGGTCCTGGGTTACAAATGTGTGTGTGAATAGGATGTAGGTGTACACTGTACAGATGTATATACATTCTCACATACGTAGGTATTTTTCCCAAAGAAAAAGTATTTGAGAAATTTAATTCTGTAACATTGATTTATTAAAAAGAAAGCTACTGTAGGTGTTTAAAAAAAAAAAGATTCTTGTGGCCATCGGGAAACAAAACGTTCCTGCATTCCGAACATTCCGAGAATTCAGGGAATTCTGAAGCCCGGCCCTTGAAAATAATTACTTTGTACACACTACTTTATTCTTTTTCGTTGAGGAATTACAGCACTGTGATACGAGATGTTTATACCAACCTGTGTCTGTTGTCATGTGTCGTCACCTGCAATAAGAAAACGCAGAGAATCGACCCCTTACTGTTGACTGTACAGCTAAACGCCTCCTGCTTGTGTAAAAGGTAACTCTAGAAACAAAAAGCACTGCATTAACTACCAGGGCTTGATGGATTATCCATCAGATTGACCCGAGCACTTGGATCCACTTTTCGGACAAGCCTTTGCCGCTGGGAAAGCCACACTTTTCACGAAGCCCATCCCTGAACGTGCTGTACATCCGTACGTCACGGAGCACTCCTTCATCCTCTGTAAGAATCTGTCCCAGAGTTCCTCGCTGCCTTTGACATCCCCACACAGCCCATGTCTCTGTGGCCTAATCGATTTCTACGACTGCAAGCCTTAATAATGGTTGTGTGAACTCCAAAAGATGCCACTAAAGCTGTGACCTCTTTCCTAAGCTGGAAGACTTTCTTGTTATTGTCAGGTTGTAGGAATTGTACAGTACAAACCTGCCAAAGTGTAACAATATACAGCACAGTGCCTTAGTGTATGAAGCTAACGTGGATGAGCGCAGTCGTTTTTCGGGAAAAAGTAACACTAAAGGTGCGGTCACATTTACTGTTGCTACACTGTAAAAAAAATTCGGTAAAATTTACGGTAAAAAAACGGCAGCTGTGGTTGCCGGAATTTTACTGTAACAAATACAGTAGCAACGTTTTAGAGAAATCAGTGCAGATGAAATCAGTCATTCCAATAGGAATTTGTGCGATTGGGAGTTTCGCGTTAAGTTAAGTTTAAGTTGTTTCAAGTGAGTTCGCCGCACTGACCAGCTGAGAGATGCTTGGTTTGAAAGTGACTTCTGTGTGAGCTGTGCTTTACACATGGCTACGCTGTTGATAATAAACTGAACTTTTTGGCCACAAAATTTTGCCGCAGTTTCGCAAATGTGACCACACCTTAAGATCCTACGTGTCATCTTTATAAAAGAGCACTGGTCATTCGGTTGACCTTTCACTCCCAGAGACGGAAGACATATTTAGACATACAGATCTTGCCTTTCTTATCCGAAAAGACCAAAAAGTTGAAGGAGACGCATTGAGCTCCTCTTTATTTTCTGCACTGTAGCATGAAAGTGCCTTTGGTTCCGATTTTTCCAGCTTAGAAAAGACTGATGTTTTTTTTGCGTTCTTAAGATGATCAAAAACCAAAAAAAGTGGATGTAGGTCAAATATTCACCACATTGCCTTCACAAGAATTTTATAGAAAAATCAACATGGGCTGGTGAGTGGATATGTTCTGAAATAAAGTTATGTAGTAATTATTAATAACAAACTTCTATCAGCATTTGATTTGGTGGATGTAGCAAACTGTCATTTTTTCTTTCTTTCGAAATATGAACGTAGGTTCCATTCTGTGAGAGATTTATTTGACATAGCCTACTTTTCTAGTGCATAATCGAATGATAAAAGCGGAAAACCTCACAGCACTGTGGAGATTGATTGCTGAATGGTGTTTGCTTTTACTTTTTTCAAGCCATTCCAATGTCTCATTTTGAATATAGAAACTCTATATCAAGTGACGTCAAGGTGTGTTGCTCCTCAGAATTTAAAGATAAGGATATTAACCGCAGAGTCACGTGTAAGTCTTTTACGGACAAAGCTGGCTTCACCAAACCATATCATCTTCACTGCATAATTTATTCATGTTGTTCATTTAAGTGGATCGAACCCTCAAAGCGTGAGAGACTAATAAGTTAGATTTCCAGCTGTGTATGTTGTAGCGCTTCAAGTAAACCGTGGAGTTAAGTACGCGCGATATCAAAACGGCAGACGATGTTGATTGTTTCGTGTTTGCCGTACCTTCGCCCTTCGTTCTTGTTCACGTTTCATATAGAGATCTTCCTGTATTGTTTTACATGTACGCGATGGTTTTGTGACGACGTCAGTATATTCGGAGCCCATTCGGGTGGTGATACTGTTACTGCTGCGCTGTCAGTACCTCCTTAACAGTCCCCTTTACTTCTCTAGCGATCTGAGAACTAATGCCTTTAATATGATGAATGTTAAACGGACATTGTTTTGCTAGTATCGGACACTAAGCAAGGATTCGAGCGGAATCCGGACTACAGTATATCAGCAGTTTAGCTTCTGTTTTTTTATCTGTTTGTATTTTGTCTATGTGTAGGTACTGGTACCTCCTATGTTCATTACCATTTAAGATGTTGGCTTTAAAAGTGAACTTTTCTCTAGTTCAGATAGTATCATAAAAAGATAATGGGTTTGTGCAGAGATTTTTTTTTGTAAAAAGGTGCTTTGTATAAAATTATATATTCTGGCTTTTCTTGGTACAAAGGTGTGATATCTTTTAATATCCCTGATGATGGAAAAAAGCATTGGGAGCAAGGCTGAGAGAGAAAAGAAAAAACCTATTATGTGTGTGTTCTTTATCGCATATGGTCTTGTCTTTGCTCCGTAACATTTTGATGCCTTCTTGATGAAGTGGTAGATATTTTGTAGCTTTCTAGATACTTTGTATGTATACAATATTGAATAAAATAAGTAATTAAAACAGCTTGTCTGGTCATGTGTTGTTTTCTTCAGGCTTCATTGAATAGGATAGTTCATTTATTCCAAACCTGTATGACCGACTGACTTTCTTCTTGAGAGCACCAGAATGACGGTCACCAAACAGTTTTGGTAACCAATGGCTTGCATTGTTGGAAAAAAAGAAAAAAAAAAATCAAGTCTGCAGCGCCATCTGTTGACTACGGAAGCCCGTTTCCGCCACTGAATAAAAAAAAAAAAGGTTATTGCGACTTTTTATCTCACAATTCTGACAATTCTGAAAAAAAATTTCACAGTATTGTGAGATATAAACTCGCAATTCTGAGGAATAAAGTCAGAATTGCGTGATATAAACTCGCAAGAATGTATCTGTAAGAATGTAAGAGTTTGTATCTCGCAATTATAAGAAAAAAAAGTCAGAATTGTGAGATAAAAAGTCGCAATTACCTTTTTTATTCAATGGCGGAAACGTGCTTCCATAGTTGACACTTCTAGGAACAGACTTTGAAAATAAAGTTTAATCAAATGAAGATTTTTTCCCCGGTGCATTTTTATTTTTTATAAGCATTTATGGCACACATTTTAGTGCATGCTTATTGGAAGTAAATGTTTTATCCACACAATTACCATTTACTCTAGTACAGCGGTTCAATAGTGTGTTCTGAACTGTATGTATGCAATACTTAACATACTGTACCATTTTAATGCATAATTTCGTCACAAGTTTTAAATTACAGTTCACCCAAAAATAAAAATGTCTTGTATTCACCCTCAGGCCATTAAAGATGTAAATGAGTGTGTTTCTTCATTAGGACAGATTTGGAAAAACGTACATAAAAAACATATTTTACATCACTGGCTCACCAATGGATCCTCTGCAGTGAATGGGGGCCGTAAGAATGAGAGTTCAAACAACTGAAAAAATCATCACAATAATCCACAAGTAATCCACACCACTCCAGTCCATCAATTAATGGCTTGTTAAGTGAAAAGCTGCATGTTTGTAATAAACAAATTCATCCTTAAGACATTTTTACATTTCAAACTGTTGCTTATGGCTAAATATGAGTCCTCTATCAACAATATTGCTTTCTTCAGTGAAAACCAGAAGAGAAATATCCCAATCCTTCTCATCCAAACCAGAAGAGAAATATCCCAATCCATCTCATCCAAACCAGACGAGAAATATGCACAGATTAAGCACACTTTAGAAGCACCAAAACTGTTCTAAATAAATATATTGTTAGATTTTGAACTCTCATTCTGACGGCACCCATTCACCGTAGAGTAGTGATGCCCAACCCTGTTCCTGGAGATCTACCTTCCTGCAAAGTTCAGCTCCAGCCCGGATCAAACACTGCTTAACCAGCGTAAGATCTTCAGGAGGACTTGATAATTACAGGCAGGTAGGTGTGCTGAAGCAGGGTTGGAACTGAACTCTGCAGGAAGGTAGATCTCCAGGAACAGGGTTGGGCACCACTGCTGTAGAGGCTCCACTGGTAAGCAAGTGGTATAATGCAAAATGTCTCCAAATCTGTTCAAATGAAGAAACAAACTAATCAAACTCACAAACTGAGGGTGAGTACATTTTCAGCTATTTTTTATTCTTAGGCGGACTGATCCTTTAATATTTATAGTTGATTGGCAATGTCGATCCTCTCGTACAAGTAATAGCACTGAACACTAGGGGGCCGGAATGTTCCGCTATTATTTGTGAATGTTGCATTAATGAAGGTGAACAGCAGGGGTCACTGCAGGATTATTCTCAGAAAGTGGCGAACCATGAATTTCTAAATTAAAGCTTTTTATTACTCAATAGTTTTTTTTTTTTAAGTTAAAAAGCAAAACAGAATATATGAAAAATATAATTCATTTAATAGAGAGAGATGGACTGTGTCATAATTGCATATCCCTTTGTTTTAGTGACTGATTGAAACCATGCTTTTACACTGATATTAATTTCAAGGATTATGGTGTTTTAACTTAAATTGGATCTGTTTTGACC